CATGGTGTTGAAAGTGCCTCAACACTGAACTGCAAATATGAACATGCATTAGAGGAAACAACTTAGAAGAACAAAGCATTACTTATCCATCTTTAGACTCCACTCTAATATCTGTGGCATTTTAAAACCAGTAAGTGTGTGACATTTGTCCAAAATGACTGGGAATTAGAGAAAAAAATTCAATTTTTCAAGCAAACATTCTTCTCCAATTCTTCATACATACCAGTTAAGCCTGCCAAGCTCTTGCTGTTTAGAGATCAAGAAATCAGTCACAAGTTAACAAAAATATTGCAGCAGGTGATGCTTGAAGGCTGATATAAAAAACCACTGCAGGTCCTAGTAATGTCATGCTGGAAAAGTAGCTGCATTTGCACATTTTATGCAATGTTAAATCTTCACATTTAATAAAATATACAGAGAAGGAAAGGATGTAATACTCTGTAATGAGACAGTCCTGCTGCTGTCAGTCATCTTTCGCATCTTCTAACAACAGGATTTCTTCTGCCACCAGTTACTGCACGGCATTGCTCTGTAGGGTGAATTTACTCTGTGTGTTCCTTCATCACTTTTAGATCTGTTGCTCTCTTTAAACAATTATGTACTTCATACTACATCTGTTTTCAGCTACCGGCCACAAAAAGCATTTGACTTATGTAAATTTTTTCAACTGCCAAAAAAACGTTAGTAAAGATTTTACAAATAAAGTCAAATTCATACTATTTGAAAAGCAGAAAATCCATGCCGACGAGGTGTACTGGACTGAGACACTTTTCTACAGCCTGTTCTGAAAAAACACTGCACAAGCATCTCTTCAAACACGGGAGCAGAAGATGGGTTAGCAGAGCTGATTCTCCTGCAGACATCTGCCCGGCCCCACCTCCTGCAGCAGGCTGTACTTCCGATCCACAAAGCCAGAACCACCCTTAGCTGTGTCCTCAGCAGCATTTACTGTTCAACACACTCTCAGCTTCCCATTTCAAAATACCAACGACTAATTAGAGGATCTATATGCATCTGACGGCGCCCAGACCCCCTACAGCATTAAGAGCCTGCACTTCCATAGAGTTCTTAGCAGGGAAACTTTGTGATTTCTATCATGCCCAATTTCTATTAACATACATGAAGAGGATTGTAGGTACTCTGCAGCCAGTGTGAGATGCTGTTGCTTGCAAACATTTCAGGTGAGAAAACTATCATGCCTGCAAACAAATTGTTTTCCTCAATCCACTGGTTTAACAGCTGAGCTACTTCTGCAGCCACCACCAGAGTATATTATAATAAATTTGTGAACTAATAAACTAGAGCTAATCTGAGATGTGAAGTGGTCTTTCCAGCAGCAATGAAGAATCCACACCTTTTGAAATAGTACCTGAAATAAGCTTTGGCGTTTTTAAGTGCAGGAAACTGGATGTAGGAAACCGAGTCAAACTGATGCTTGCTGAACAGTACACACACCATTAAACGTTAAGAAAAAGAGGCACTGAAGTCTGCAATGGCAATGCTCATCTACCTTTGCAATTTCTGAGGGGAAAAAAAAACCAACAACCTAGCAAGTATTTCGAGAAAGTCAAGTCATCAACCTGAAGATTTCCTCCTCAGATTATTAAGCAAGCAGGACATACATGGAGAATACTAGACAACTTTTACAAATTCCCAAATACACTTAAAATTTAATTTCATGGAGGAAGAGAGCATCCAAAGAAAACACATTTCTTTTGTTACCATTACAAGCTTGATAAAATAACATGTAATTGAGCACTGCTAGATACTTACACCAGTGACACAAGACAGAACTCATTTAATGCTCTGTATAAGGTCTTACGATCACGTTTCTCCTGCATAAGGAAAGTAAGCACAGCCAAAGCAATAGAGCATAATCTGCAGTACGGTAGCTGGCCTGCATGATCACTGGGGTTCTGCTCATACATTGTTTTAAGGCATTCAAGCTTCCTACTTGAGAAACAAAAAAATGAAATCTGTCTGGTGTGGCCAATTAGAACAGAGCGTCACAATTTCCACTGTTTAACATTTATACAATTCAGCAGGTTCCGCTTGCTTTGCTGCAAGTCAGCATTTTGCTTATTATCAAATTACTTTCCACAGACGGATCTAGAAAATACCAATTTAGCATTTCAGCTTAAGTAGCAGTGGTATACATAAGAAAACATTAGTCAAAGCTCAAGACAAATATTTTCAGTAAGTACTACTACAAAGGAAAATTGATGAAAACAGTTTTAAATAATTAATTACTTAATTTTTCTGAATCTCCTCAATGCAAATAAAATGCCCATTGTTTCCATAGGTAAACCAACTAAAAGTTAGGTCAGCTCTGAACAGCAGCATCTAGAGGGAGCGATGAAATCACTTTCACAAGTATTTCAAGTAAAGTTTTTTGGCTGTTCTCCATTTAAACAAGTCCTACCTTTTTCCTTAAAGTCAAGGTTAAACTCAAGGAAAAAAAGAGAAAGATGTATCACAGAATAAAAAGTCACACCAGTTAATAACTGCAAAACCAGTTACTCAGCATCAGCCGACTGTTGGTGCCTACGAACTAATCAGGTGGTGAGATTGTAAAGAACAAATACTCTACATGTAGTTTCCCACATTTTGCAGTGGCAGCTTGGGATGACTGCCGCTCAGCAGCAGCCACCAGCTGCTCCTCTGTAACTTCAATTTGGAGTAAACCATAAGCACACAGCAAAATTAGCTCCTGCAGAAATCAGTTATCATGCAGCAGTTAATGAGCACAGGGAAATGCGAGCAGATTCTTCACAGCCTGATCAACAATGTCAAGAGCAGCAACTGCACCAACAGGTCATGGGTAAATCATACGGCCCCTACCCCAGTCTGCAACAGAACAGGGATTTACACAGAGGTCACAGGGATTTACACAGAGGTCACAAAGCTGTGACATTTTCTTGCATACTTTTTGTAGGAGAACTGAACGAGTAAAACCAAGTTCACTAGGCACCAACCGTAGTAAAAAGTTGATTTACCACAATGCTCCTTGTATTTAGTATTTTAAAGTTATCAAGCATAAACACTTGCAATGTAAGAATTAACAGAGACTGCTATTTGATCACGTGCTTAATCGCACAGAAATTCAGGTTGTCACCAAAAAACCCCAAACTCTCATCTCTGTTCCTCAAGGCACTTGTGTGGCCAGGCCTCTTACAGAGCGGATCAGCCTGAAGGGTGTCTGACACTGCGTGTGTCTTTCCCTGGGCTCTGTCTTCACGCCCTCTTGTTCAGAGGGAGCACAGGCATTAATGCCCATACACAAAGAAAGCAAGGAGAGTACCTGAGTGGAGGAAGGGGACCACCCGCACCACCTCAGCTTAACGCAGTAATGAAAACTACACCTTTAGTCATGTTCACATTTATCACACTGACTAAAGCAACAGCTACGCTGCCAGTTCCAAAGCACAGTTCTGCAAACGACAAAATATGTAGCTGAATTACAGTCAGTCATACTGAATGCTGAAAAGGTACCCGTTTAGGCCTCTGGGTAGGCTTTTGTCCCCACCTGAAGAGGAATGCAATTCTCAACACATAGGAAAAAAACTGCTTCTTCTAAATTTTAAATTCAGATTGATTTTTATTTATTATACATCAGTGGCCGAAGAAGACGCAACTCAACTGTTTAGTGGGAAAGAACATTCCAACAGAGTATTTGAACTTTTCCTTAGAAAACAAATTATTTTAGAAATTTTTAAAGAGAACTCAAAATTCAGACTGCTTGTAAAAATCAGTTCTGTGCATACCTGAATCTCCTTGTTTCCCCTCACCTACCCATAATTTTACTATTTGTTTTCTTTGCCAAACATACCAAAACCAAAAGAACTCTTCCTATGTTACAGGGTATGTTTCAATTTTCACAACTTTTACTGGTGAAGATATAGAATTAAAAGAAAACCCGCAAACAATCCAAGAAAACTGGAAAAAGAACTCTAATCCTTTATAAATTAAAAAACAGGTTCAAAAATTCAAGTTCTGCAATGACAATAATTTCAGATTTTAAGTAGTAACTGGATTATTTATTTAACATCACCTGTCATTGTAATTGTCCAGTGTTAACAGACTTCAAGTAATAAAGCAGCTCAGAGTAGATAAAATTCTTATTTTGAGAAAACATACAAAAATCACAACTATTATATTAAAAACTCTGTTAAGTATATACAAAATAATTATCAAATCATTTGGTTCATACTGCTGCTGTAAGTCACGTAATCAACTACTTGATCCAAGAGAGTCAGTGCTAGAAATGGATGCCTGGGCAACCACCTCAAATTTGTCTGCTTGGGGACACAGATGGAACAACAGAGAGCTCATCTGTATTCATTACAAAGTTGGAACCGTAAGGAAAAAAGGAAGGAAGCTGTTAACCCAAAGAGAAAAGGACTTCAAAAACACTAAGCCCCCTGCATTGTCCCATTAAACTACTATTGTTCAGTGATGGAACCACATTTAGAACAGAAAGCAGCAGCCTCCATTCACGTTTTATTTTGTCTGTTCTCTCCATTCACTCCTAAAGTGGCAGATGATTTTCTTGGGACTTAGATGCTCATTTAGACACTCACCAATCCCAATTTCAAAAAGCCAGAGCAATGACTTCCTGTTACAACTCAGATAAGTTTAAACTCATGACCTGAAGGGAGGCAACCTGTGGTTTGTGAATCCCAAGCCACCTAGCTCAGTATAGACTGCTGCCAAACCACGTTTAACCGTAAACATGTTTTATAACAAAGAATAACCAAACTAACTCCATTCCTAACTATAGTACAAAATCTAAAGTAATACTTTGAAATACTTGCTAGCTCTTGGAAAGGTGCCCCAAGGCATCACCTGTATTAATACTTTAGACTGTATCTCAGTTTGTCATGCAGCAAATCTGACTCAAAAGAGCGACATCATACGGCTGCAATCAATTCAATATTCAGTTATGTACAAGTGGTGTATGTTCCCCCCCTCACCCAGACACTCAGTTGTGAAAGAATTACTCAGAATTTCTGAGGTTCAAACACAGTCAGTTCTTTCCCATCGTACAACTCTCGCAGTTGGTTTGACTCATATTTTAGGGAGGGTTTTTCAATGTCTATCCCAGGCTCCAGAGCATTCTGTCCAACTATTTTAAGATTCGTAACTTTTATTTTCCAGGTATTCTTCCTATCAGGACAGCTAACGAGTCCAAAAGTTTGTTCAAAGATGCCCAAACAAGAGTTGTCTCTATGCACTGTGCCAGCCACTGCTACCAGTACTACCCCATGTCGAGACACAGCACATTTCAGTCCACTGGCATGTAAATTAGGGTTGAATAGAAGATATTCTTCTTTAACCAAGGAGAGCAGACGAAGGCTCACCATTTCTGCACCAACGTATTCTTCCATGTTTTCTTCTAGTGTGCTGTAACAGAACTTCATTTTAACATCCTCCCAAAAATGCTGTGGTCCCCATCTTTCTTCAGATTTTACTCCCAAGGGATGTTGAGAATTCAGGAGCTCGAAGAACCATTGACAGAATTCCTCTCCTAGACCATAAATGTCCTCCTGTGGCAACTTTTGTCTCTCTCCATGACTCTGCAATAAAGCACATTTTTTTTCTTAGAACTACTTAGCTTTAACATGTGAGATTACCACTTAGAATAACATAAAATCATGTAAACACTGATTTTAAACATTCTAAGTCTTCTTCCTAGTGTTTTGAGACAGAGCACCTGAAGAAAAACAACAGAGTAAACTCTCATTCATTTTTAAGATCATTATTTTCTTCTCTACAGGATCAGAGTTAGGTTCTTTCAATTACAGTTGGAATAGTCCTTCAGTTTTGTCCTGGTTGACAGTTTATGGACAAAGAAGAAAATCGTGGTTCTACTGAAAAAGGGCAAGGAAGGATTTTTGAACAATTTCCATGAGACCAGGATTCTGACACTGAGAGACAAAATTTCTGCTAAGTAAAAAGTGCCTGGGTTAGTATATTTTCACTGGCCTTTACAATTCCAAAAGAAGGTTACAGAAAAAACAAGGATACAGACCCAACCTGAAAAGCTAATCTCATATTAAGGCATATCAATGTACTAAAAAGTGCTTATATTTAAGTAATTATGTTAACATATTTTTCCTGTTTCATGTTGCCTTTAATCACTTCTTTTTGGTACCTTTTAATTTGGTGAATTCTGTTGGTCTTTGCATCTTCATAAAGCTGGTAACAAATAGGACTCACCAGGAAGTCACCTTCTGAATATGCACATCCTAATACCTGAAGCTGACAGAATACTCCTGATTTATGGTTGTATTTTACCTATGTCAGTGGAATATGCTAACAAAATGCACAACTAATCCAGCAATAACTGAAACTCTGTGAATAAATATGTTCTGTAACTTTTCCTCCAACCGAAGCACGTTCCTGAATTTAGCCCTGTTTGGCAGTAAGACTGCCAGAAATCATCCAAAAGATGCTTGGTCACTTTCATGAGTGGTATTTTGTGAGAAAATAACAGAAGATCAGCCAGGAGGACTGTAAACACACTCAAGTGACTTGCAGCAAAGGTGTCAAAAAACACATATATGGTACTAATTGTTGGTACTTCTGTGCTGGACAAGTAGAACACCAGGTTTAGATAACATAGGCTTGTGATAGACTCAGAGGCACTGTACTGAACTTGCTTGAGATTCCTGCCCTGCTGTGAGAAAGATCAAAGCACAGCAGAAAAACTATGCCTGAAAAAAATCCTTGATATACAGGCAAAACCAGCAGGTTTGGTGATCCTGTAGCAAGGAATGAGCTCTGCAGTGCCTGGGTTCTTCCCCTTGTGTGCCTCTGCCTGGGTGCTGCTTTGGGGATCCCTGGTTCACAAAATAACAAAAATAAATTTATTCTTCACATTTCATCCATGGTTTTGTGGTTGTTCCTGCATCTTGCCTGCATCAGCTCACACATTTGGCATAGTTGGCAAGATCCAAGAAAAAGCATGCCATGGCTGGCAAAAAAGTTGGATACTGGGGAGGCCACAATGCTGACTCCCTGTATTCTGGGATGTCCCAGTACTGAGCATTGGACCTCTGTGGCCACTTTCATGGCCACATGGGCTCTGCTGAAAGCATGGCCTGAATTAGATGAGGAGGTGATGGTTACCCACTCAGGCAACTGAAATGGCTATGTGCAGACTGCCAAGAAAACGGACTCAGATTCTTCTTGCAATTAGCAAGGAGATTGTGATGGTATTTAGTTACCAGTCCTAAGAGCTCTTGAAGTGAAGTTGTTGCATTATGGAGTACAAAGAAAGAATCGGAAAAGGAAGTTGGGACTTTACAGGATGCAAAAGTGATCACACAAGAAGTAATTTCAACTCAAGCAGAGCGGTGCCATGAGCTGCAAGTTACTGTAGAATGGTTGATAGTGCATATAACTAATAAACAAGGGGATGGAGACAGGGAAGCGAGTGGCTGTGTGGTGCCTAGTTGCTGGCTGGGGCTACACCACAACTGTCTTTTTTGGCACCCAACATGGAGCATGAACAGTTCAAAATACTGACAGATTTGACTGGAGTGTGCTAGATTGAATTCATAGTTGTTACTGCTGTTTAGCTATTGTCAGGCTTCTGTGCTTGCCACAGGGCTTGCTTGCCTTACAGTAAGTTAGATACTAGTGCTCAATAGTGGCTGTTTTTGCTTTCACTGTTTGCTGTACTGCTGATCATCTTCCTCTGCTGTGCCTGGGAGCATTCGGATAACAGCAATGACTCATGTGTTGATTATGGAATTCAACCCAGACAAGGCAGCAGTAATGAGAAGTATCAAAATGCAGTTTTTGAGAGGAGTGCCTATGCAAAAAAGCTGACAGCCTCTGGCCCCACCACCAACTCTGATCCCACCCTCCACCCACATTTGCACCTCAGCAAAGCACTACCTGGCAAATGCCAAAACAACAGAAACAAAGGTTTGGCAGGTCCCCCAAAATCACTGCCACTGTTGCCTCTTACCATGAGGTGGACCAATGCCCCTGTGTTCCTTTAACTATAAAATGGCAGTCTGGGGGGATTTTACATGTATTAGCTCTGGTGGATACTAAAGCTGAGGTTACTGTATTACATAGCAATATTAATAAAGAAGCCAAATCACAGATCTGTGGACTGAGTGGAAATCAGACTCCTGCCCTCCAAGCTAAGGTAACCGTAACAATAGGAAATGCCACTCCATTTACCACAACAGTGGTGTTAATTACCCCATTTAAAGAGAGTATCTTGGGTGGTAATGCGTTGGTGGGACGAAGTGTGAAATGGTCACTTCTGCTTTGCCACTTTGCAGGCAGGAGTTGCTATTCGATCTGTAGCTGTCTCGCATGGATTCCTGAAGTGGTATCCTGTTGTGCTGCCCATGCCTACCAAGGTGATAAGAGTAAAACAACACTGTATTCCAAGGGAGCGCAATAACAAGTCAAAACTTTTATGCAAAATTGTTATTGAACATGACTGCTTCTAACAATCCTATTTGACCTGTTCAAAAAACCAGACAGCACTTGGAGAATGACTGTAGTTCACAGAGAATTGAATAAAAGTCATCCTCTCTCTCCCTTGCTGTTCTGGTGTCAGACATGGTTATTCATATAGAAAAAAATCAGCAAAAATTTACAGCCCTGGAAGGTGGTGACAGGCCTTGCTAATGCTTTCTTTTCAATAGCCATTACAAATGCATAAAGCGACTGCACACAATTGTATTATTTGTATGCAACAACATTTAAGGGCATTATATAGGCCATGTGGAAAGATAAAGCAGGGTCAATGGGCCTTTAAGACCTGGCAGGTTGACTATATGCATCCCTTGCAAGTCAAGGGGATGACTATACGTATTCATTGCTGTGGATATAGTGCCAGGACTATGCTAAACCCACCAAATACACTAATCAACACAGCACAACTGAAGCATTAGAACAACTCAATCTCTCCCAAGGTATTAACTGCAGGGGAAATGGAGCTGTTCACACTGATGGATTGTGGTGGGACTGCAACCTATTAGTTTGGATGTGAAGATTTGTATGTGCCTCTGAGAATGCCATATGGTTCTGTACCTCAACTTCTCTTATTCTACTCCGTTAGTTGATATCAGTCTTAAGTTCTTGTCTTCAGGTATCTTCAATTAGTATCTGTGGCTTATCTAGAGAAGACAGCACTGGAACAGTATTCTTGGTGTGGTGAACCCAACGTTGAATTGAAGTTCAACCTGAACAAAGCGCAAGCCATAGCTCTCCAATCTGAGTGAGCAATTACCCCACGTCAGGTTATCAAACCTGTAGTAATCTTGAATAGAATCACAGAATGTGTTGGGTTGGAAGGGACCTTTAAAACTCATCTAGTCCAACCCCCTGCAGTGAGCAGGGACATCTTTAGTTACATCAGGTCACTCAGAGCCCCATCAAGCCTGATCTTGAAAGTCTCCAGGGATGGGGCCTCCACCACCTCACTGGGCAACCAGCTCCAGTGTTTCACCACCTGCATAGTGAAGAATTTCTTCCTAATATCCAGTCTAAATCTACCCTGCTGTAGTTTAAAACCATTGCCCATTGTCACACTGCTACACACCCTTGTAAACTGTCCCTCCCCAGCTTTCCTGTAGGACCCCTTCAGGAACTGGAAGGCCGCAATAAGGTCCCCCCAGAGCCTTCTCTTCTCCAGGCTGAACAGCCCCAACTCTCTCAGTCGGTCCTCATAGTGGGGGTGCTCCAGTCCCCTGATTAGCTTTCCGGCCCTCCTCTGGACCCGCTCCAACAGTTCTATGTCCTTCTTGTACTGAAGGCTCCAGAGCTGGACAGTGCTCCAGGTGAGGTCTCACCAGAGCAGAGTAGAATTATACTCCGCTAAGTGATTTTGATATTAATTCTTCTCATGACTATTTTTTCAGAGTGGGTGGTGTTTGTACACCAATGAACATTACAGAATTTATTGTCAGATGACTATTTCCTCCTTTTACACCATAAACTTTGCTTTGATTTTGAATGTGTGTGTTGCTTCAACACAACTAATGAATCAGCCAGCACAGAGGATGACATTCACTCAAGACTTAATGCATCAAATTAAAAAAAATCTACCGATGGTGTCTGTCGGGCTGAGTGGTTTAATTCCCTGACAGCATGAATGGGACACTTGATTCAACGCATATTGTAGAGGTATCTTTACTCCTTTCTTCTGTATGAGTTTATTGCATGCCTCTGTAAATTACTCTGCACTACAACCTGCAAGCCTAAATGAACACCTCCAGTTTTGCCAGCCCCAGTGGAAGGGGGTCTATTGAGTGGGAGGGTGTAATGCAGGGAAATAAGGGAAGATCGGCCCGGAGGATTGTAAACACACTCAAGTGACTTGCAGCAAAGGTGTCAAAAAACACATATATGGTATCAATTGTTGCCACTTCTGTGCTCGATAAGTAGAACATACGTGTTTAGATAACATAGGCTTGTGATAGACTCAGAGGCACTGTACTGAACTTGCTTGAGATTCCTGCCCTGCTGTGAGAAAGACCAAAGCACAGTGGAAAACTACACCTGCAATAAATCCTTGATATACAGGCAAAACCAGCAGGTTTGGCAATCCTGTAGCAAGGACCAAGCTCCGTGGTGCCTGCTTTCTCACTTGCGTGCTGCTTTGGGGATCCCCAGACTCATCAGGTAATAAAAATAAATGTACTCTTTGCATTTCATCCATGGTTTTGTGGTTGTTCCTGCATCTTGCCTGCGTCAGCTCACACATGTTCATAGTCTTACCATCTTTCTAATAGGAAGAGAGCTCAAATCAAAGAAAACTATAACTTACATTACCTTTGCTCCTCCAAAATAGACAAAAGTCTGGAGGAATCTCAGTTATTTTTTTAATTGTACAACTGATAACTTAAACCAGACTGAGACAATATAACATTGGGATAGGAGGGCCACAGGGATTTTCACATAGCAGCATAGGCTTATTCTGGGAACAAAGGCAACTCCATTCAGCCTGTCATAAAATCGTTCCTTCAGACTGCCATAAAAACCTTTGTGCAACACTGAATCTGCTGAGAAAGTAGTTTTAAGTAAGCGAGACAAATTAAACATTGCTAGCAGACAGCCAAATCTTCAAAAAATAATTTGAAAAGGCTCAGTCAGAGATTCTTGTCTTGTCTAGAAGCCTTAGAGAAGAATGGGTCAGTGAAAGAAAGCATAAAGCTACTCAAAACACATCTTCCACCCATTCCCCATAGGTTATGGACAAGCTACTTATGCCCTTTTTTCCCTTGTTTTACAGAAGATGACATTCACACACTCCTAAAATACATCTAAGGTGTAGAGGGATAAGAAATACTTCCATTTAATGATGGGTTGCTGGGACTGACAACAGGGTGGTGGGCATAAAGTTTTGAAACCAAACTCACAGTAAGTAGCAAGAGCACGTTATCAGTGAGGAACCAATGGTCATGTTATTAAAATCGTATCAGAGAGAGTGACAAACCACTCCAAGTGTTGTATCACTAAATACGTACTGCAACAAAGTACGGAGTAAGATTTTTTTAGACATTATTATGGGTCAAGCCAAGAAAAAAAATCTATTCCTTGCAGTTGAATTCTTGGTATGACTACAACCATGTGTAGAAGAACAGCAAAATCTAAGCACAAACACTGAGGAAACAAGTTGCTTAGCACTTAGATATTTAAGACAGGTTTTTCAGTTGACTATATAAACACATTTGGTTTAGAGGACACCTCTTTCTAAAGGAAGTGTCACTGTAAAATGCAACAATTGGATGCTCAAGTAACAGTGCTGTTAGCCTACTTAATTTGTACATACGTAGTTTGTTTATCCTCTGTTTTAGCTTACAATAGGTAAGATTTTTTTACTTTAAAGTAATCCAAACTTTCAAACGTAAAGATACATGACCTCCAACTGTAAAATTATGTGTTTTTTGAACAAGAACTAAATGTGTAGTTATTTTGTAGGGCTTATCAGTATTTGCAACTTGACAGCAAGACTTTTAGAAGTAAATCCAGTGGCAAGTTTGCTAACGTCGAAGTCTAGTGAGTATTAAATGAAGTATGTTTTACATAAGTATTAAGTATGTTAAATGTTTGGAGATTTTTATATAGTAATGCTGTATTTATTTCACAATAAATTGTAATTAATTTCTAATTCTGTTCTGGAAGTTCACTTTACCCATTTCTTCAAAATGGTGAAGGCCACAAGAATTAAGAGAAAACAAAGGCAAAGAAACACGCAAGTGATAAATGCTGTTGAATCTCTCATTCTTTGTGAATGTGTGTTAAGTACTTCGGAGAATTTAATTTACTTATCTTCAATCTTAAAACTTCACTATGGGGTAATAAAAATATACAGGGCCGTGTTCTTGCAAGAGAACATTTCTTTTTTCCAAAGTACGTATACAAAAAAATGTTTGGAAAACAATTCTCAGCTACAACCTAATTCTTATCAGTTAATGCCTGCGAGAAAGCTCAGTGCAACAGGTTATCAACAGCTACAGAGCTCTAAAAGTCCAGCTGGTGGGGCTGTTGCCCATTAGGTCTCAGAAATACAGCACTTGAAAGAGCAAGGTGGCTATTTAGAACTATATGGTAAAGATCCATGACCAGCAAAACACTGAAAGTTCATTACACCTCGAGGATTTGCTAAATATCAAAATATTGAAATTTGAAATAACCCCTAAGAGCCAAAACACATCTATTTACGCTGTATTAAAGTGTTACTGATATCAAGAGAAAAAATGACACAGACCTAGCCCTGCTACAAACTTTACATTTCAAAGACATGAAAAAATTACCAAAACCTTTTCTGCACTTTAATTGCAAGAGGTAAAAAGGAAAAAAACCTACAGACTGTGCTGCTTTGATTGCACTGTCTCTAGAAGTAAATTAAGGCGACTTACAAAAAGGCAGTTTTCTCTCCATTCCCTCCCTCTCCTGCAACATTTTAGACTGATAAGCATTTTCACCTTATGATCTATCGGTAGCATCTCTTTGCTGTGCTCTGGGATGTGGCCTGTCAATGGTATCACTAGTGACTGGTGTGGCTGCAGGATGACTGGAAATCCTGGATCTATACCAAAGGTTTAAGAAGATTCACCACATTAAAAAATGACAAGGGGCTACGCAGGGTTTCTGTACTGTTAACACAGGTTTTCAGTTGTTCTTGAATTCATACAATCATTTGTGAATACTTTCTGGTTTTAGCTTACAGTACAACTTAAAAATCAAAAGAACGGAGAAAATACCGCACATTAGAGTGCAAATGCACTAATACACTTTGCAACACAGAGCAGAAGACTGCTCTGCAAGTGATACATTGGCACAGATACCTTTAAATGATGCAATTAAAAAAGCTCCAAACAAACAAACAAAACCAATCAAAACTAAACAAGCCAAGAGTTAAAGAGATTCAGTACTTTCTTAAATACATGTGAACAGCCACATTTTGGTTATCCTGCAAAAGCAATGCTAAGCATCCTCAGGTCTTCCAGAAAGCAGCACTCACCTCTGTGTGTGGTTTCTTCTCCTCTGGCTCTGAGGCACATGCTATGAGCTGCCCACTCCAGTACTGCTTTGCACGATCAATGAGTAAATGTTTCTCAGAGGAAGGAGGCACTGCAATTCCTTGTGCTGCCAAATACTTAAAAATTATTTCTCGATAGACTTTTCTGCGCTTCAGAAGTTCTTCTACATTTTGGCTGTAAACCAAAATGGCATGAATGGCTTCTGCAAGTAAAGAAGTTAAAGTCAGCAGCTGCTTCTCTCATGACTAAAACCCAAATCTATACCATTTCTTAAACTCCCACCATCCATGCCCAAACACAGTGCAAGACAAGCATAAATGAAATGCAGACTTAAAAGTTTGATTGCAAACTGAAATCTGACCTAATCATATGAGACACAGAAGATACTCAAAGACATGAGAACATGTTTAAAAAACAGTACTGTTTTTCCTGAAGACCTTGCTACCTTGTAATCCCTACTTCCAGAGATTAGAAAATCCAAGTGCTTCAGGAAGCATAAGGGTTCTTGCACACAGTGCATTTCACCTATGCTTCCTGCAGCTAACATTAATTTCAACATAAGTTCATTTAACATGAAATCATTTAGGACTTTCTGCTTGGCGTCACCACATAGCCCCTTCACTCACAAAAAGCTGAGCTTGGTTTCATTCTCCATTTGAAAAACTGGGATATTTCAAAATAAGCCATCTGCCTATCTTCTTCGAAGAAAGATTACATAGAGAAAGAAGAACCAGACAAATCTTTTATGGTTCTTCTGAGTATGGAATATGAATCTTAATTTCTGCATCAAATGGGCAGTTCACATTATTTGGTCAGAGAATACATTGTTATTCTGAAGAATATGCAAGTTTTAAAATGTTTCTCATGACCAGAAAATTGACAGAAATGTGGACAGAGAGATAACTAAGGTAATCTCTGATTTCTCATATGCAGAACAAGAATTATAGTACCAGAAGCCTACAGTTTTTCAGACAACACACAGCAGTTCCTGAAGACTGATGGAAATGGAATTTAATCTATTTCCTCGCTAATAAAATTACTACTCCCAGGTTCACAAGAAACCACCATGCATTATAACACAATAACAGTGCACTGAAAGGTAACATTTACAAAAAATCAGCTACGAGGCTCTGTAGCAAAACCAGGAAGCATAACAAACTGAAATTCACTTTTAAAGTAGTTGTGGTAGCCAGTTCTCTCCTGAATTGAGGCTGGATACTTAACACATTATCTATAAAAACTATAAAAGTTTAAACAAGAAGAGACTAATAACTGAAGTAACAACAACAAAAAAACCTAAAACCACTGCAAAAAAAAATTAGATAAAAATTGGGGGATTGGACTAGATGATCTTTTGAGGTCCCTTCCAATCCCTAACGTTCTGTGATTCTGTGTGAAAAAGGCAAGAACAACTAAAAGCATAAGAACTTTCAAAGAAATGTTTGGCAAATATTACAGGCCTGATTTATACCACATGAAACATATTCGAGGTTTTCAGATGAGTATATTTCAGGGTAATGCGCTGAGTGGCCTCACATAACATATACAAAATTAAGTTTTAGGAATCAAATCTCTACATCTACAAAGTGATGAGGGATGGTCACACCTAGAAGTGCTCTGTTCTACGAAGAATTAAGTTTGATACTTGATTTATATTTTACCCTTTCAAAACCAAAACCCCCAACCTCCCAGCAGCCAAATCGCAGTGCCGCCCGGAAGTATGCAGGCCCACCTAAGGAAAACGGTCCCGACAGCCACAGCCGACCG